TATAATATATATTATATATATAATATATATATATTTATAAATGTAACACCCAGTTTTTTTTCGGTAATAACATCTTGTTGACTTGAAAATGGATTCTTTTTGGCTTTTGTAAATCATGAATTTGAACCTTAACTTCATCACTAGAAGATGCTCTAATTGCTCTAAATATTGAGAGTCCTAGGATTGCCTTCAAAAAGGGTGTGTCCAAGGAGTGCTTTAACCCCAACAAAAATAGAAACAAGGGTGGCAGCCTCGATCCATCCAAATAAAAGAAGTTTCTAAGGGTTGCTCCTTAATATACAAGGGGATTGATTCCCATAACCTTGGAACCGTTCTAGTGCAAGATTTTTAGTTTAATTATAATAAAATAGTAATAATAATGATAATAAATTATAATAATAATATGGTATTAATTTGTGTAATTCTACTATTTCAAATAATGTTACAAATAAGAGATTATTCATCAAATATCATTCTATTTCAGACCATGAAAGGAATGGTGTGTATGTGATAGCGTTAGGTGTCTAGAGTATAAAAAATAGGGCGTGGGAAGGAGAACAGCAAGTCAAAAGGAGACAAAATTTGACTTAAAATTCCCTTCTAATCACCTCCAAATCCTTAAAAAAAATACAAATTGTACTTCAAAAGTCAATCACGCACTCTAACCCACATCATCCACACAAGTACGTGAACACAACCTAAAGATAAAAACAATAACTCAAATACATTCAATAAATCAATATGATACAGATATGAAATTTTCCATTGGCATTAGACAATACTTGAGTACCATTGATCATAATAGGATATTATTTTATGGAGCTACAGAGGTCCAAGCGTTGGGCGTCATCTAAGGATCATTGGGCACTACTAGAAGTTTAATTATAAGGAGCTCCAAGAATCATTGAGCGTTAAGTCGGCTACTAAGCATTGACTCATTTGCACTGAGTGTGTTTGTTTTCGTGAATAAATAAACTCTTTTCTAGCTTTTATCTTGTTTTATCCTCAAGTTCATCGCCTCTTTTGTATTTTCATATTTTTTAGTTAGTGTGTGCTTGGTTTACCTTTAATATCCTTTTAAGTGATTGAAATAAGTTAATAGAAAGAAATTATGGTGGAAGATAACAAGTTAGAACTCAAGGAAACACATTTTAGACAGGACAAAAGAAGATAGATTTGGAGTAAATACTTGCGTCGAGCACCAATCGTGTACTACACCACAAAGTCAAATACCAACCAGTGTCATAGGTGGCCTAGTGTTGGGTGGAGGAAAATGACCTTGGGAGCTGCCAGCCTCTAGAGAACCACTGCTAAACGGTGGAAACTGACGTTGAGAGGCATCTAGTGTTGTAGAATTAGCGTTGGGTAGCCCAAGCTAGCGTTGGGCTTCACCTGGTTTTGTAGGGCTAGCGCTAAGCGAGGGAAAACTAATGTCGGGTGATGATGATGTTGAGTTGTAAAAAAATAGGTTTTATTCATGTTTATTGTGAGGGTTTTGATTCATTCTTCATTTTTCACAAATAAAAATACTTAGGGTGCTTGGGAGAGACCTTTGGATATTGTTAGAGGTATTGGGAAGCTTTCCCTCTCTTCCTTGTGTCTCTTCGTTTATCCATGGTGGTTTTCCCCTTTTGGAGTTGAAGAGGAAGACAAGTTGTGATTTAGAGGTATTGATGTGAATCGGATGAGCAAATAAGTTTGGAGTAGCTACTAGGTGCCTTGGGAACACACACCCTATGCTAACATACCACACACACACACAACCACACACATATATATATATATATATATATATATATATATATATGCTACACACACACATATGTTGCACATACACATATATATGCTACACACACACACACACACACATATATATATATATATGCTACACATACACATATATGCTTTTTCAATTCAAATTAGAATTAAACTTAGTAATCTTAATAATCTTGAACTTAATGCATGATTTGCTTGTTGATTATCCAAGGGATTGAACTTTGATGAGTTATTATAAACTCAAAGTTACTAGAGACATAATTTAAGTATTTTTGTGAGTTGATTTCTATTTGAATATGAAATTGATATGTTTGTCAATGCATAAGAATGAAATGGATGAAATTTAATATTAACAATTGTAAATACTCTATGTTAATTTTTGTTGCACACCAACTGTTGATAAAAATTCAAAAAGAATTTTTTTTTTATGTTTTGTGGCTTTGTTGTCTAAATTAAATAAGTTGTAAATGCAAGAGTTGTCACATGTTACACAAGTTTCTTATGAAAACTAGTAAAAAGGTTTTTATAGATGTTTTCTTGATTTGATGATAATGGAAGAATGAGAACTTTGTAGTGATGGTATATGTTAGGTTGAATAAAGTGTTAGGTTTATCAAGGTAGTAGGAGGTCACTAGAAAGATATAAACCAATAAGACTCGATTCCAACCACATAAGGGATTGACATCACTTTCTACCCAAAACTTGAAGGTGATGAGTTAATGGGTCTTCACTTTTATATGGTGTTGCACTTTTTCATTTCTACCGAATGCGAGACTTCGACTCACACTTGGATTTCCAACAATCTCCTCCTCAAGGATGAGTCCCTTCCACATTGGTACACTCCCCCTCCATCAGATGCATTCACAACCACGATTACTTGGAATCCTTTCTAGTAAGACTTTTGTTACAAAAAATATATTTTACTTGTCCAAGTCGGTCACTAGAACTAACTATTGGTTTTGATATCACTGTTGGGTTTGTATTGAGGGAGGAGTTTCATTAGGGAGATACAACACCAATGAGACCTAAGCCCAATCACATAAGGGATTAGTATCACTCTGTACCCAAAACCTTAAGGCAATAGGTTAATGGGTCTCCACCTTTATATGGTGCTGCACTTTCTCATTTCTACCCAATGCGGGATTTAGACTCACACTTGGATTACCAATATAAAGCCTAGATTTGAATACCGAAAATCTATAGGAAATTGTGATTTAAGATATTATGATGGTGTAAATTGTATAAATACATTCATTTCTAAGAAGAAGTGTAATATTGTGAAGTCTAGTGTAGTATATACAATGGTGTAGAGAGTTTGGCGTGAAGTCATCCTAACTCTACCCAACTCACAGACTCATAGAGAATGAGATTTATATGGTAAGAGTTAAAGGAGGTTTCTCGTTACGGGATCAATATAAAATAATGTCATGACGTAGAGGATTGATCAGAACTATGTTTGTCATGGTAATTGACCCAAGTTGAGTCATAACTATTATTTTTAGTCGAATCCACTATAGAAAGATCATGAAAAGTGTAGGACTTTATATGAGCATTGATTCCTTATGTATATGTTCCTGGACTAGAGACTTATAGGTTTATTTGTGTTTCATATGGAATGATGACTTGAATTATGAATACCTGATAGAAACATGAAGTATAGGATCTTAAATGCATGATATAACTTTATAAAAATTAATAATCTTGCCCTTATATTTTATCTATGATTGGTGTTGATTATTCACCTATTATGTTTGTGTGATACACATGAGCATATAATAGTGCAAGAAGCAGTGAAGTCTAATAGTAAAAGTGATTATGAGCTAAATAATAAAAGTTATTACAATCAAGTTTGGTTGTATATGATATAAATATATGGGACCTCTTAATATGATTTCAGTATTCATAATGCATTTTTGTTTGCTTATGATGTGTTAAAAATTTTAAGGAATTTATATTCATATTTGCGTTTCTTGTTTTTACATTGCTTAATACCAAATATGTTAAATTTGATTAGTAAATTAATACATGTTAATTTAGGTTGTTACTAAGAAAACCTAAATTATCTTAATCTTAATCTTGATATAATTTCTATTGAGACAACAAATTATATTATTCTTATTTCTTGCTATTATAAATAAGATACAATACATAATAAAAGTGAATAAAAACAAAATCTTGATTTGTTTAAGTTTTTTTTTTCGAAATTTAAATAAATAAATATAAATATAAATAATTATTTTTTAAATAGTTTTTTTTTTTCCTAAAAGAACTTAACAAACCAACCCAAGGAATTTGTCAAAGTCATGAAGTAAAATTTATTTCTCCTCTAAAAAGGTTTTCCTATTTAATGTTTATTCGTACCTTCAATAAAAAGAAGAAGACAAATTACCATGTTTAAAATTTATATTGTAAAATTTTAGATTAATAAATTTACAGTAAAACGACTTGTAATTTGAAAAACAAATGCGACGTTAATCTTAACATATTTTATAACACGTTAAATAATTTAAAATCAGTATAACTTTATGTATATAATATGCGGCAATATTTTTCAAAACAACAATGGACTTTAAGATATAAATATGTATTAATTTTATTTAATAGTTTAAGAAAACATTTACTCACTTGACTTGATAGTTATAGAAATACAAATTGATGAAATTTGAAAGGCAGAAAACATGATTAAACTAGGAAAGTTTTATATTTGAACGAGATCCGCCGTGCACATGTGTTTGTGTAATAAAACATAATTACAGAAAAACATAAAGTTAATTAAAAATAAGATAAAAATTAATCTGGGCTGGCTGACTACTTGGCTCAATTATTGAGATGAATAGGTTAATTAATATCACATGATTCATATTCCACGTTCACAGCTACAGGGTGGCACACTAGATTTTCTTGCATCTCCCCTATAATTAAATACTATAAATTTTGAAAGATATGATTAAAAATTGGCAGAGTTATCATCTAACAGCCTATAACAATTTGGAAAATAAAATTTATGCGATATAATTATACAATTTGTCTCATAATAAAAAGACAAATATGAGAAAGAAAAGTAAACAATAATTGATGTGATGAAAAAGATTAGAAAAATATTATTATTAAAAGCATTATATAGATATAAGCAATTTATAAGGCACGAGTAGATTGTCCGCACGTGCTTTATTTCTTTCCTTTGTTTAAAGCCAGTTGAAGAATTGAAAAGGTGAAGACTAGTAGGCTATAAAGATTGAACAAAGTTAACACACATTTCGCATTCAGTAGAAGAGAAAAAGCTTTGAATAGAGAAAGGACAAATCAGTGTTCTGTACGTAAAGTGTTGGTGGCCTAATTATGACGGAGGAATCAAACAAACCAATGGATGATGCATCAGCACCCAACTGGTTATCTGATTTGGTAAGAAAATTGATTTTGATTTCCAATCATGAAAAATGCACAAATGGATGGTTACAAATCCTTTAACACACTTTGTGTTGCTTTTCTTTTTTTTTGTCTTTGATGACAGGACATGGATGATTACAATTTATTTCCAGATGAGTGTGCCCTGAACTTGAACTTGTTTGATGATCAAGAGTTTCTGCCACAAGACATTGCCAGTGCCCTTGAAGAACAGACACAGAGCCTGCAGCGATCTTTGTCTTCGGAGTGCCCTTCCAAAACTGTGAGCAACTCATCCACCGATGAAACCAGTTTTGACTTTGAGAGACCAGCCAAGTTACTGAAAACGACAAGCAGTAGTTGCTGTAACTCTGACTCATCCACCATCACCAACAACCTCTCGCCAAAACTTTCCCCATCCACATCCTTCTCCTCCTTTCAGTCTCATATTCTGTCTTTTGACAACCCCAACTCCTCCCCTCCCACCACCCCACCACCACCACCACCCACTTTTACGGCTTTGACTTAAACCCAACGCAGAACGAAATGGTGTCAGTGTCAATGCCCCAATTGACAAAATCACGCTTCCCTGATCAAACGCCAAAAGGGTCCTCAAAAAATCACAACTTTGAAACAAAACCCTCACATGGTAAGAGATCTCCTGCTCACGCTCAGGATCACATCATGGCCGAGAGGAAGCGAAGAGAGAAGCTCAGCCAGAGCTTCATTGCTCTTGCAGCTCTTGTTCCTGGCCTAAAGAAGGTAATTAACTACTCTTATGCTAGCGCAAGTCAATTATGATTCATTGGAAAATGTTTGCTAAGGAATCAGTTCAGTAGTGGAAAATCATAATTAGAAATTGTTATAATACACTTGATTATCTGTTTGATCATAGAATTGCTAATAAAATTTACATAGTTAAGTAATTGGATTAAAAAATTTATACTGATATTCAACTTTAACCTGACACACTTGCCTAAAAGATAAAGAAGTCATCAATGCCACTGGCTTGGTTACCCTGCTTGACTAAACGTGTGGAAAATGTGTTGATCCACGCAGATGGATAAGGCTTCTGTGTTAGGGGACGCTATCAAATATGTGAAAGATCTTAAAGAGCGTTTGGCAGTGCTTGAAGAGCAGAGCAAGAAAACAAGGGAAGAATCGGCGGTGGTCCTGAACAAGCCAGAGCTCTCTGGCGATGATGATTCTTCTTCATGTGATGAGTGCATTGGTGCTGATAGTGTCAGTGACACTCTGTTTGAGGTGGAATCAAGAGTGTCAGGGAAGGAGATGCTGCTTCGGATCCACTGCCTCAAGCAAAAGGGGCTTCTCGTCAAATTACTGGCCGAGATCCAAAGAAATAACCTACTCGTTATTAATAGCAGCATCTTACCATTCGGTGATTCTATCCTTGACATTACCATAGTTGCTCAGGTAGAAGGACAATCCTTACCTTAATAACAAAAATAATGATCATACTGTAATATTATTTTTATAAGCTCTTGTCATTTTTCTCGCACACTCACTACGTTTTTAATTGCTTGAATCTATACCAACTTGAAGTACAATTAGTTTAATTGTATTTGAATGCTGATGGTTTTGCAGATGGGAGAAAATTACAATTTGACTATGAAGGAACTTGCCAAGAACCTACGCGTTTCGGCAAATAAGGTTGTCTCATAACATAAACGCGGCTCGAGTATGGGATACCATGAAGATATATGGCAAGAATCAAAACTCTGAATCAGAATTGGTGCACCAACCATAGAGTAAATAATCCTAAAATGGAATGTTTTCTGTTAATGTGAGATCTACTCCAGCTAGCTTACAGTGTTCCTGTGTTCCCCGAAATGCAGATGATCGATCCAAAAGGGATATTGTCTTTTTCGTGTTGTGCGTGGTTTCTCAGGCCTTCGGTCTGTGCCTGCTTGACAAAACAAAGAGTATTTGAATAATTTTGTGGAGATATTAGGAATGGTTCCAATCTGACACGGCTTAGTTAACGCGAGCTTAATTAGAGATAATAAGTTAAATTAGTGATGACTTATGACACTGACAGCTTTTGAGTTTGATAATCTGCTCTCTTTAATCTTTGATCATGTTTGAAAGATGCAAATCTCTCTCTTTAGGCCTTTGCTTGTTTCAATAGAAAATGAGAAATTCATATTTAATATTGAGGCACCAACATTTATGTAAACCACTTGCTATACATCTAAGTTTATACTTTGACAATCATATATCAATAATCGCGAAAATGTACATTCCTCTCTTCTAACCATTTTTATTAAATTTTTTTTCAATAATTTAATTTTATTGTCATAGTATTATAACGAGAAAAAACATGTTCTGAACCTAGCTTTATCCTTCATACTTTTGGTTGTACTTTTGATTAACGTATAAAATATATCATTGATGATGCGAATATATTACTGCACTGCAGCTGGTAATGAAAACATGCTGTGAAGGACAAAAGCAGGTAACCTATCTATCTCAATAATGATGGATTTTAATAGAATTGATATTACGTATTATTATAAGGTTAAAAGATTAACTCAATCGATAAAATAAAATTGGTTTCTAAGATGATATTCATATATATATATATATATATATATATATATATTTTAAATTAGTTTTATTTTTGATTAATGTGAAATCTTTAATAGAATATTTTTAATAAATAACAAATTTTGTTAATTATGGTAAATTTTAAAGTTTAATTCTGTTTCACGAAATTAGTTTCTAAATTAATATTTATATCCATTTATATATATTCTGAACTAACTTTATAACTAACAATGACTTTGATATGAAGTTAAGAAGTGGATTTTAAGTATAACTCAATTTCACAAAATTATTTTGTATGATATTAGAACCGTTATTAGAGTTTATCATAGCAAGTTTGTTGTTAAGACTTAGTTAGACTTAAAGTTTACTTCTTAACATGATGTCATGGTTTAGAGTTTGTCCTAACAAAATGAGTTGTTTGTTGGGTATATTGTTCCACCTACTATCGAATCAGTTATTAATATCAAATTTTATTATCGAAATATATAAACCTCCACATTAGGAGATGTGTTAAAAGTTTCACATCAATTAAAAGTGAGATGATCTCATAGAATATAAATGGGTGTACATCCCATCTTACAAACAAATTTTAAAAGTTTCACATCAACTAAAAATAAGATGATTTTATAAAATATAAATGGATGTATATCTCATCTTACAAACAAATTTTATGAGATTGAATTAAATCTAAAGTTTATTTAAAAAAATAAACTACCAAACATGATGGTATTGTTATTTTTTATATTTGAATCACATTATTTGAGAAAAAATCAATTAGAAAGAGAAATTTAACAATAATATTTTGATAATAAAAAAACGTATGAATATAAATAGAAAAACATATTCGAATCACATTATATGAAAAAAAAACTATAAGAAAGAGACATTTCACAATAATATTCTCATAATAGAAAACATACGAATACAAATAGAAAAGTCACTTATTTTGTCCTGGCAACATTAATATTAGGAAAATGACACTTGAACAACCATTTTTGACAAAGGAGAGTAGAATTACGGCTCTACTTAAGTTGCCGCATATCTTTCTCTTGTTTGAAATACCCTTCCCCACGCGCACACGTGTCAAAATCTGAGTGGTCCCGTTGAAAAAATTAAATGAAAATGGACCGCTCAGATTTTGACACGTGTGCGCGTGTCTAAATGTTGTCAAAAATGGTTGTTCAAGTATCATTTTCCTTAATATTAACGGTATTATATTTTTATTGCATTTAAATTATGAAGGAAATTAAGGAGAATAAAATTTACCATTCTCTACCCTATTTGATTTTACAAAACGAAGCCGATTAATAAAAAATAGCATTACCATTATGGTTATTCTCTTCCACCACTTTAAGAATGCCCTCTTAAACTATTAACAACTATAGCTAAGCATTACAAAAAGAAATGAGATGAATGTAAGAACACGTGTGAGTGTCAGTAGTTTTTTTATTTTTTCTTTTGTTTGCAGTTATCGATGGTGATTATACCTTGCCCGTAGTGATAAGTTACATGCTGCCCATTTTGTCATACTGATACCCCCTATAATTTAAACTTCGGAATTCACGCTTCTGATGTCTCTTTGGAATTGAGTAGCATTGCTCCCACTCAACATATCACGAATTTCAATAGCAAAACGATTCAATATTCAAGATTTGAACCTCTATAGCAAGTTTCTTACGGATGAACGTAAAATATTTGGCCATGGTAATTTGCAATCGGAATTAGGTTTGGAATGACTTTCTTCATTGCGCCAAATTGTAAATTTAATCATCCATTAAACTGCACAAGCTTTGACCATTGCGTCCAATTCCAACAGTGTGTGACATGAGAGTTTAATCTATGTCTGATTTGTCGATTATGGTTTCCATTTTCAATGTCATTTTTAGATTCTTGCATATCATATGAATAAGGCCCGCTTAATTATCGATTATGATCCCATTATTATCTCGTCAAATCTTTGTCAATCTTAAACGGATTATAAATCACGTGGCCTCACGTGACATTTTAGATCATCCAGGAAAATAGCACATGTTTGGATTGTCCCTCCTCATTACAGTACATTTATCTTGGGCACATTAAGTTTTCGTATGTCTAAAATATTCGTTTGCTGCTAACAAAATGTGGGAACATTTAAATAATTCGATCACGTTTTCCTAATTTTAATGTGAGAACATTACAAAAAACGCACACATGCTTCATTTTCCAACCTCAATTCATTAAATTTTTATCGTAGTCTTCGTAGTTGTTAGATGGCGCTAACGTTGCTTCTGGAGAGGTCAACTATTACGTCAAAACTTTGGGATTCACAATAATTTTCTTACATTTTTAAAACGATGTTTTCTAATGGCCAAGAAAGAGTTTAAAACATGTTGTAATGACTTTAATTAAATTGCATCAAGTTTAATATCAAAGTTAATCTCTAATGTTTATAAAATATATTGGAATAATATACACTAAAAACTCTTCTACTAACGGTTAGTTACTTCACTAATAGTTATGGTATATAAAAGAAAATTATCTAACAGAAGGTAAGTTATGAATATACATATTATAAAATCACATGAAATTTATTGAGGGTATCGAGAGATCAAGAAAGAAAATCCAAGGAATGGTTACGGATAAAGCTCGTCGTCAATAAGTATATTATGAAAGATGATATTGACAGAAACGTACCATCAAGGAAATGATAGAATTGGATCGAGTAAGGATACTTATAATAACTACTGCAGAGCATGGGAAGAATGAGTGATTTTAAGACAATTATAATAATTAATGTAATTTTTCTTTTATTTTATTTTAGTTTAACAGTAAAAGAAAATAGAAAAAAAAGACATAAATAGATCATTTAAATGTAAAATAAGAATAATAAATTATATTTACAATTTAGAAACTCTATGAATGCTGCAAATAAAAAAAATTGAGACATTAAATACAATAAATACAAAATAAAATATAATTGTGAGAAAAAAGTGTATGAACATATTAAAGGAAAACTTAGCGATTTGAGAATAATTATGAGATTAATTCATAATATAAACGAGTTATATATTAAGTTTATGCTAATAGTAATAGTGAAATTATAAACATTAACATACTTTAGTTAAAATTAAAAAAATACTAATTTGTTAGTTCGTTTAACTAAAAAAAATCACGTGGAATTGATTTGATTCACTTTCAAATACATTTTTGACTAAACAGAACCAGAATTGAAACAAAATTATAATAATATAATGATATTAACAGTAAGATGCATTGTGCATGAACATGAGGCGCGAAAGTATGAGAAAAGATATCCTTGCTTAAGCATTATGTTGAGTTTTAAATGTAATCATGAAAACGATGCATCGAAGTTATGAAAAATAGAGAAAAATGAGGTATTAGGTGGATGGGAAAACGCGTGATGTAGACGACACTAAATGAAGGAATGAATCGAATATGCAAACCTGCGGATCGCAATACTGTAGAGGAGAGATCACGGATGCGCATGGTTTAGGGTTTGATCAGAGTCGAGAAAAGATGCCCATTACACAAGGACACATTTTGCGTTAATATTGGACCAAAACTATTCCCATATATTCATCATTTACGAATCAACTCAATCATTCAATATACTATCATCATTCTGCACACATATCACCATCCCATATATGCGATATGTTTTTCATTCACTACACACTGTTGATACAGTGAAGAATTAATTTACCAAATGTTTACATATAACTTCTTTTAAGTATCGCTTGAGCAACCAACCTATTCATAACCTAGTAATTGATATATGAACAAAAAAAATCGTTGTTAGAAGTAATATTAGTACTTCTACCAACTTAAAATTGTTTAATTCTTAATCAACAATACTTTCTTTAAATAATAATGATTATCTTTTAAGTATTTCTTAAATAATTAAAAGAATCCTTAAATAATAGTACTTTGTCCAAGTAATTATGATCCCTTAAATGTTATTTGAGCGATCAACTTAACCTTCAAACTATATATGAAAGAAAAAAAAAAGAATTAATTAATTGTTGAACAACTTAAAATCAGTACTTTTAATACTCTACCAAAGTTTAATAAATAATGCACCTTATCAGTTCCCTTTTACCTATAGAGATAACTTACTTTGTAAAGAAAATAAAAAGCTTTCAACTCAATAAAATAATCTTATATACCTTTTATTGAACCTATAACATCAACACCTCCATTTGTTCTAATTGTAAAAGATTCATACTCTTGAGACAAATCGAGTATAAATTTATAATCAACCGTAAGAAATCACAGAGCTTAGATCAAAATTTTGATTTACTTATTGTGATGTATCATTTATTACCTCCTCAAAAGTGAAATATAATTTTAAAGGCGATGGACAATTATT